TCAACACGAGTCTTTTCAACATGTTTTGTCATCACTTACATGTTTCGTGGAAAATTCCCGAGAGGTCATCCTATGGTTCCTGTGATTTAGGCACCCAAAAGGAAGATGCATAGCTCCTTATTGGTATAAATAGTTTCTTTTAATTCTAGCTTTTCTTAGCCATTTTTGGCTCAGGATCGCTCTCTTCGGATATGGTCTCGGTTCATTCATATACCTCGTATTTACTCAAATGTCAACGTGAATTACTGTTTACTTTCTATAAAAAAAAACAATTTTGATTAAAATCACGTGAGAAAAAATAAATTTTATCAATGGGAGAGCTACTTCTAGTTAGTTAATATAGCACTCTAAGTGATTGTTAGCCGATATTGTCCATAGCATAGTAAATATTGTCCACTTTAGCTTGTTACGTTTCGTCGTTAGCCTCACAGTTTTAAAATGCATATTTCAAAGTTATGCATCGAAATCGATACTCGTCTAGATATTGTTTTCTTTGGGCTTTCCCTTCCGAGTTTCCGCTCAAGATTTTTGGATTTTTCCTTCTGGGCTTCCCTATTATGCATCGAGTATAAAGAGGGTCTAACCCTATTCCAACTAGTACTTCACACTATCTGGTGACCGGCTATAACACCAACTGTAGCAACTTAAGACTACAATTAGCAGATATTGTCATTTTTAGCCCGTTACGTATGGCTATCTCATGATTTTAAAATGTGTCTGTTAAGGAGAGGTTTCACACTTTTACAAAGAATACTTGTTCCTCCAACCAATATGAGGTCTTACCGCTAATTAGACCATAAATTTAAGATTTTACTGTTAGATATTGAAATAAAAAATATATTAACCTTATCTTATGAAACACGTTAGCCTTTATCTTATGAAACATATTAACATATGAAACCGTTTTTTTTTTTTTTTTTTTTTTTTTTTTTTTTTTTTTTTTTTTTTTTTTTTTTTTTTNGAGAAAAGTCTAGATTTGTTTTTAAAATTTATGTACTTTCCTCATCGTGAATCTCCCACTTCGCTCAATCTCAAGTCACGGTTTCATAATTTTATGTCATATTTTGGATACCTCATATCAACCATGTCTATTTTTCTTCTAGTTGAATGTGCATAAAAAATTGATAAATATCCTTAAAAAAAACTATTTACATCTCTACCTTAAATCTACTTGATAATGCTAATTAAGGAGAAAGTATAGAAAATGCAACCATTCTAGATGTGTTTAACACAACTTTGTTTTTCCATCTCCACCAAAAATAGCAAACGAAAAAGAATTGATATTTATCATTCATAGCAATTAATTTTTTTTTGGGTGGATATTAACCTTAAATCAGCTTCCCAAACAGCTTTAACAACTTGTTCCCACACAAGTTTTCTTTTTTTTTTTTTTTTTTTTTTTTTTGCAATATCAATTTTATGCTTAGTTTTTTTTTCTTCTTTAGTTCAGTCGAAATTGAACTATCAACTTAATGCGTTCGACTTAATGACTGTAACAATTAATGTTACCATCGTTGAATTCGATGACATTACGTAGGGACAACTTTATTTTACTGTTTCTAAATTGAAGTCATGATTTGCGGCTGTAAATGTCAATCGTTTGTTGAATACAAAATTCTTATTTTCTCCGATGTTCTACTTTATTTAATGTCTTTTTCAATCTTATAAATCACGGGTGAGCATAACTCAACCGTAATTAACCTGCATTTTTTTCTTTTGAGGTTGGAATTTACCATGTTCAGACCCCATTTGTTATACAAAAAAAAAAAAAAAAATGTTAAAACGTATCATAATCTAATAAATATTGATGATTAGGACGTTTAATTCAAGAGTATGATTTGCGTGTTACAGATTTACGTACCCAATGACGAAAATGCCCTCAAGAAGAAAATTTAGTATTCTCGTTCTACTAAATATTCTGATTAGAGCTATAAAGTGATTTATAGATTTAAATCTCTATACAGGCATGAACAAGAACTAAGATGAGATTAGGGTAATCTGGGAAATAGAAGATGACATAAAGAGTATCATCTTATCCTGAGCTGTTAAAAAATTAGGTGACTTTTAGAGACTCCAGTTCCTAAGAAGAGGAGAATTGCAGTGTCGGGATAAACAAATATGGACGACATTTAATGCATGGATGAAGAAAAAAAATTCTTAAAATAATTCTCTTTATAAAGAAGACTCGTAAAGATTCAGTAGCTTGTGATCATGAAATGAGCAGAATACCTAGGCGTATAATTACCGAATCCAGATTTCAAATTATGATCTGAATCTTGGGTATGCACGGTTACATTGATCTTAATTTTTATATTTTATAATAACAAACAAATTTATTTATTAATTAAAAACCAAATTATTTATTTGAACTAATTTCAAATGTTAAAACGACAAGGCCCTGCTGTTTTTTAAGAACATTTTTTAAGGAAAATTTGGAAGGATTAATGATTAGCATATTGACTTCGATAGAATAATATAATAAAAAAATATAAAATATTGGCTGAAACGAAATTAGAATTATATTTTTTTTATAAAGTTGTGTCGTACCTGCTGACGAGGAAATTTAAAAATTATTATTATTATTATTATTATTAAATTAGTGACTTTCATTGTCAAAGGTTAAAAAACAAAACATAATTATTTTTTTCTCTAAATCAATTTATAATGAATGTTGTTTTTTAAAAAATAAAATTTAGAACATAATTAACTAACTTTTCCACGTCATCAGATGCCCTCAACTAAATAAACAAATTCCCACTTTGAATTCAATACCAAGAGAATCCAAGCATAAAAATTGGAATGTTCTTCTAATTATTATTCTTAAGTTAAAATTTAAGTAATTAATTAAACAAATGTTTAGTTAGTAATTTTAATAAAATTTAAATTTATGAGTTTATGCGACAAACGATACAAAAACATGTTACAAAAGAACACGTTTTATGTTCTTCGTACTTTAATGATATTTACTACAAAATTATAGTTTACAAAAGAACACGTGTCTTTCTATTTATTATTTTTCCGTGTTTTTGTAATTTATTTGATTATAAATAAGATAACTTTCACACAATTTAAATGCGGTGATCATGCAAACATTCTCATAGTATCAGGGCCATGTCAATCACTAACATTATTTTCAATTCACATGATAGTGAGGATAAAACACGTGAATACTGGACAAAGCATGCTGAAAGAACTCGTGTTGGTTTATAGGAACAGTATTCACTCTTAAGAAACGAGGAGTAGGTAAGATGACCATGTCGCAAGAGATGCAGGGGAATACCAGGGCACGTAGGCGCTGAATCCCGGGTATGAGTTGTTACATGATGGTTCTGAAAGGCTTACAATAATTGATAGTTACTACAGATACCGATAACATGCACGTTTCTTTATGGTGAGTCAATCATAGAAAATTATTTTTGAAAGCATTTTCCAAACCCGTATAATATTTTAATATTTATCATAAATTGATTTTATTATTATTATTATTATTATTTTGTTCTAATTCAGCATGATGTGTAAAGAGTGATGAAATTGTTTAATTTCTTTATAAAATTTGTATTATCTTTGACTTTTGATCTTTGACTTTTTATTTCTCTTATGACATTCTTAAGTTTGAAGATTTACTCAGATTTGGTTTGATTAAAATATATTAATACTAATTGCTATGTGATTAGTTTAATAAATGGAAAATTTATTAAAATTAGTCAATAGTGATGCAATTTAAGTATTTAGATATTGCAATAATTTTACGAGTATTATTAAAGTGTTCGAAAGTCTATCCGTCAAATACATCTTATTTTATTTTCTTCTTTTTAACCTAGTCTATATATACGAGTGTCGTGGGTTGGATTAGGTCAGGTTGAGACGTTTTTTAGATCCAACCCTAATGGTTCAAATTGTAAAATTTTCACTCTCAACCCAACCCGACCCAACCATAATTGGGTTGGTTTTCCAATATAAATAGTCATCATCGTTGACCTCTTGACAATGGATTCTGAGTAGCTTTATCGAGATCATAAGCGAATTGCGCAAAGGCTTCTAATTCGACAAATTGAGCTAATTCCAATTTTTATTTGTCGGCTATTTGTTTCATAGCTTTAATTTGAGCGACGGAAATACCCACATTAATAACACGTCTGATTCCAGCATTGAATAGATCGCAGATAACAATATTTGTCCGGCCCTAATTTGAGCTGCAGATCCACTCGACAGAAATACCTACATTAATAGCAGGTCTGATCCGTAACAATATTTGTCCATCCTAATCAAAATTACATTAATACGACTATAAGTAGAAATATCTCTAATTCCCGTCATTTATTCACACTTTTATTTTTAGTAAGAGTAAACGGTTACATTTAATTAAAATTTATAATTCCATTTCAATATATCCTTTAAAATTTATAAATTAAGATACGTTGGGTTCAACCTAATCTAGCGAACTGACCCAATTATAATTTATAATATTTTCATTTATTTGAACTCAATTTATCCATAGAGTTATCCTATGTCAGGGGCACTACCTCTTATACGAACCAGCTCTATTGACTACCCACAAGATCCCGTTTTTAAAACCCAATCTAAAATGAAAATAAAATCTCCAAAAAGAAATTAATTAATTATTTATAAGATATAGAGATAAATCAGTATATAAGTTTGTTAATTATATTTTAAATTTTACGGTGATTGAATTAAAATATATATATATATATATATATATATATATATATATATATATATATATATATATATATATATATTATAGTTTGATAAAGGAAAGTGCCACGTAAGAGTTTTGAAGTCAGGAAGAAAGAGTGAAGAATCCCGAAGAGAAGCGTTTAGAGGAGAGTAAAGAGCCAATGAGAGTGAAAAGAAGAGCCACGTCAGATGTGACACGTGGGCAGGAGTGCAGTTCATCTGGAAACCCTGACTGGAAAAATCATATATGGAAACCCACAGTCCACAAAGCTGAACATGTTCATCGTATTCTCCGGTCAGGCAAAAACCACGAGGCATTTTTTTCACTATATATATATTAACACCTTCTTCATTCACTCACAATATACCCATTTCGATCCATAATTCTCAAAGGGTATTGTGTTTTTTTGTTTTTTGTTTTTTGTTTTTTTGATCTTTGTTCTTGAGTTGATTTTGATCTTTTGCAGGATTTACTGCAAGAAATTCAAGGTTCAAGGGATTGTGAAGGTAAAATCTTGGTTTGATTTTGATCAAAACCCTAATTTTTTAAACCCGCTTTGATGTTGTTACATGTTTTTTTTTTTTTTTTTTTTAATTTAGGTCAAGTTTTGATTCTTCTTTTAAAAAAAAAAATAAGAACATGAAGAACACAAACAAGAACACGAAGAACAACAACAACAACCGAGAAGGAAAAGGGGGAAAAATTGAGGAATTAGTTCATGATTATGATCATTTGGTGGAAAAAACCCTAAAATTTTTAACCTGTATTAATGTTGTTGTTGCATGTTTTTTATTTAGGTCAAGTTTTGATTCTTCTCTAAAAACATAAAACAAGAACAAGAACACGAAGAACTTAGTCATGTCTTTGACCTAGAATCTCTAAGAAATTGAGGAATCAAGTTTGATTTTTGATTTCTGGGAGAAATGGAAAAGGATCATGCATGTTCATCATCATCTCTTTTTAACCCTAATCTTGTTCTTTTAAAACTTTATAATACTTCAAATACATTCTGGATTTATTTTTTTTGTGATTTATAAGACTAGGGTTTCGAAATGAAAACGTCATCAAATTTGATCAAAATATTTTATTTTTAATATAAGAGGATTCAAACCCTAAACGAAATCTACAAAAACTATACGAGAACTACAAATCTCAAGTATGTGTTACTTAACTATGTGTACGAGAACAACAAATTTTATTTTTTCTTTAACGTGTTCATCTTTTGACAAGTATGTGTTACTACTAATTTGTTAGTGATTTTTTTTCGTAACGTGTTCTATCTGTTGATATGTATATATGTTGCTAATTAGCTAGTGATTGTCTCGTAGTGTGTCACTACTAGTTAGTTAGTCTTTTTTTTCTTTAACATATTCATCTTTTAATAATTACGTGTTACTACTCCCTAGTTATTGCCTTTTATTAACTTGTTCATCGTCAGTTGATATGTATATGTGTTCATCACTTGTTCATCTTTTGATAAGTATTACCACTAACGAGTTGGTGGTTTTTTCTTAACGTGTTCATCTCTTTATATGTATATATGTAGCTAACTAGTTAGTAGTTTTCTCGTAACGTGTTACTGCTAATCAATTAATGTTTTTTTCTTTGACATATTCGTCTTTTGATAAGTATTACTACTACCCAGTTAGTAATTTTTTCTTAACGTGTTCATCTCTTGATATGTATATATGTAGCTAACTAGTTAGTAGTTTTCTCGTAACGTGTTACTGCTAATCAGTTAATGTTTTTTTCTTTAACATGTTCGTCTTTTAATAAGTATTACTACTACCCAGTTAGTAATTTTTCCTTAATGCGTTCATCTCTTGATATGTATATATGTAGCTAACTAGTCAGTGGTTTTCTCGTAACGTGTTACTGCTAATCAGTTAATGTTTTTTCTTTGACGTGTTTGTCTTTTGATAAGTATTACTACTACCCAGTTAGTAATTTTTCTAAACGTGTTCATCTCTTGATCTGTATAACGTTTTATTATTAATTAATTAGTTTATTTTTTCCTTTACGTGTTCGTCTTTCGATTTTTCGAATGTGATAGTTTTATGTTATGTTCATAATCACAGATGGACAACAATTACCCACAATACAATGAAGGTGCTGGCTCTTCTCACACATCCAACTCTCCTCAATGTGCCTCAAACTTTAACATCTTCGATCAATCAGCATCAAACTCAAACTCGAATGTAAAAGGTAACGAGCTCCATAGAGCGAGCGACCTTCTGATGGCGGTGTCGGTGTGCACGGAGGCAAACTTTTCGAGAATCGCCGACCTGGCCGACACGGCGATGGACGAGCTCATAAAAGCAGCTCTTGATGGAGATCCTCTATGGATGCCCCAACAAAATGAAGAAGCTGAATCTTACTATACATTGTTGGATATAATGAAAATGGTTGAGGTTGGAGAGCCTCCTTCTTCCAGCCTTCTTGACTTCGATCTTTTCAACACCAAATCCGACACTGAATCCAACATCAACAACAACACAAATTTGGGCTTTAAAGACAATCAACAACAACAACAACACTATCTTCAAACTGAGTTTTCAAGACAAACTGAATTTGTCAAAGTGGATCCACTCAGCATTGTTGGGTTTTTGATGGATTTGGTTAGTTGTTTATGTTTTTTTTTTATTTGATTTTTTTTTTTGAGAGTTTTAACGTTGTTTGTTCGTTTGTTCGTTCGTTCTTAGGAACAATGGTCACTTGTCTTCTCCGACATTGTTTCAAGAGCAGCAATTCTTCAAATGTGGTCATCAATGGGACCGGGAGGGACTTACGATGGAACTTTGCAAGTGGTAACACAAATTTAATTTTCGTTCTTCGACAACAAGAACATCATCATTACATCATCACTTCATTATCATTTAATTTTTTAAGAGGTATGTTGGGTTCGATAACTTTTTATTACAGGGTTCTCCTCGTTCTAAAAGAAAATTAAATTTTTTTTTTTTGTCAAATTCTAATTTTTTTTAAAAAAAATAAAAACTTGGATTAGATTTGAAAGTAGCTCAAAATTTTCAAAATCTTTGACGGTTTTTAAATCTTCATACGACATGGTACGTTTGGTCGAACCCCAACAAACCTATTGCTCTCATATCGCTCTATATTGGCATGGTTTCATGTAATTCTCTTCGTATATTTCCGGTACGTTTCTCGTATACTCTTAGTAAGAACATGTCTGAAAATACCCTTGGACATGATCAGAGATTAGGGTTTCTATGGATAAGGTTGGTTGTATGTTTTGTTTTGTTTTTTTTAATGATGTTGGGGGTTTTTGTGGGCAGATGACAGCTGAGTTTCAGCTCGCCTCACCACTTGTAGAGACAAGAGAGAGCTACTTTGGGAGGTTTTGCAAGCAATTAGCTCCCTACACATGGGGAGTTGTTGATATTTCCTTGGAAGATCTCTTCCCTTACCCATCCATTGGCTTTTGTAGAAAACCCTCTGGCTGTTTGATCCAAGCATGTCCTGATGGAATCTCTAAGGTTTTGTGTATTTTCTTTCTCGATCTTCGAGTATCGTAGCATATACATAGAGCTTCGAGTATCGTATTGTCTCTCTTTTTCGATAATTGTTTCTCGTTTCTTGGTTTGAGTTTAAATACCTACGGTTCAAGTTCTTGTTTCTTGTCTCGCGTTGTTTTGATCTTGTATCTTGTTTCTTATTCCATGTTTTTTTTAATTATGTTTCTCTTTTTGTTGAAAGAAAACCGTGTTTAGTACTTGTTGTTTCTTGTTTTTGTCTGAGATCCCACATCGGTTGGAGAACGGAACGAAACCTTTTTTATAAGGGTGTGGAAACCTCTTTCTAGCAACCGTACTTTAAAAACCTTGAGGAAAAGTTTACAAAGGACAATATCTGCTAGTAGTGGACTTGGGATGTTTCATTCTTATGTGATGTTTTTGGAACGATGTTGTTTATGGTGTCTTATGCTTTATTTTTTTTTATTCTTGTTTCTCTTTTATGAAAAGAAAAAAATCCATGTTTGATACTTGTTGTTTTAATCATGTTTCTTTTTTTTGTAGGAAGAAAATTCGTATTTAATACCTGTTGTTTCTTGTTTCTTAGCTTATTCCACGTATTTAGTACCTGTTCTTTCTTTTTGAAATCCCACATCATTTGGAGAGGGAAACGAAACATTCTTTATAAGGGTGTGGAGAAACCTCTCCATAGTATACACGTTTTCAAAATTTTGAGGGGAAACCCAAAAGGAAAAGCTCAAAGAGTACAATATCTTATAGCGGTGGGCTTGGGCTGTTACATTCCTATTCCACGTTTTCTGGAACATGTTATTTCTCGTGTCTTATTCTTCGTTTTTTTTTTCATTCTTGTTTCTCTTTTATGAAAAGAAAAACCCGTGTTAAGTACCTGTTGTTTCTTGTTTCTTGTTTCTTATTCCTCGTTAAAATGACGTTTCATTGCTTCTTCTTCTTACAAAATCACTTGATAATTTAGGGCTGTTGTTTGAATATTTTGTTTAGGTCATGTGGGTTGAACATGTGGAAGTTGACAACAGATGTGTTCAACCAATGTTCCAACCATATATCAACTCTGGTTTGGCATTTGGTGCAAAGAGATGGGTTTCTTCTCTGGTTAGACACTGCATTTGGCTAACTACTTTAGAAGCCAAGAGCACTTCAACAATCAATGGGGGTACTTAACTTTATCATTACGTTCATATTCTAATTCCCGTCATTACAATTAGTTCAAATTTCAAATTAGTCCCTGAATTTTTATATGGATTTCTAATAGATCCAGGGCTCGTTAGACATAAAAGTGAAAGTTCGGGAACCAATAAGACACAAGGTTAAAACTTTGAGGACTTATCTGAAACTTTTTTAAATTGAGGGACCGATAAACACGTAAATGAGTATATCCAACCGAACCTTATAACATGTTTTTTTTTTTTTTTTTGATGATGTTAATGTAGTTTCGATACTACAAGCTGGAAGGCTTAGCGTGTTGAAGTTGGCTGAGAGAATGACAAGGACCTTTTATAATGTTGTGAGTGGTTCTAAAGAAAATCCATGGATGAAAATTCCCATTCCTGGACCTCATGACATTAGGGTTATGACCCAGAAAGCCAAAGAGAATGATCCTGGACGTCCTCCGTGTACATCGGTGATCTTCGCTACTTCAGCTCAAGTTCCGAACAATCCGAATGAAGTTTTCCAGTTCCTTCGTCATGAGAAGTCTCGAAACAAGGTACGTTATTCAAGTTTGCATTGTTATATAAGGTTCGTTTTCATAAATATCACGAACATTTAACCATATCATGAACAAGAAGCTAATTCATGATGAAAGCTAAATAGTTCGAGCTAGGTAATGTTGAGAATAGTGCAATACTTCTCCGAGTTTGGGGAAGTTCGAGACTTCATAAGTTCACAGGTTCTTCAAATAGGTTTTATCAACGTTTGTAAGTGCTACTAGTTCTCAACAGCTTTGTTCATATATGCAGTGGGACATCCTTTCATTTGGTTACGTCATCACGGAACTTGCCTGCATTATCAATGGAAACGACTCGAGAAACCGGGTGTCGATAATTCAAGTGAACGTAAGTTTGTCGATTCATTTTTTTTTTCCTACACAGCAACACTTTAACTCTTCAAACTTTAACTTGAAAAGTTACCATATTTGTAGTCTTCGCCGAGAAAAGTCGAGATCTTCTACCTGCAAGAGAGTTACTTCGACGCAACGGGATCTTATATAGTCTATGCACCTGTTGACCTCTTTGCCATGTCGATACTCTTACGTGGAGGAAACCCAGATAATGTGGCTATCTTGTCTTCTGGTTTTGTTGTACTTCCAGATAACCTGAAAATGAATGGACAGGAAGTTGAAGCTGATGGTAGCATCGTGACAGTGGCCCTCAACATCGTTGATCATTCAATTACTGAAAGGATCCCATTTGATTCAATGGTTTCCATGCATAGGATTATGAATGAAACTGTAGCCTCAATCAAACAGGCTTTCCAAGTACAACAATTTTAAATAAGGAATTGTAATACTTGGTATGAAAAAACCTTGTCTTTCTGTGTTTAGGACAACAAGTGCTTATAGATGGGTGAAGTTTGACACCCAATATAAGCTGAAATAAATGGCTTTCAAGCTGTTTATGTAATAATTTACATATAGGTTTCATCCCTTTTCCTTGTTGAGTGTGGAGGAAAAACTCTCCGCAATTTCTTATGTGAAAGCGTCGAATTTGATTACTCCTACAAGGTACAGTACCTCAATTTCTCGACGGCGACGTTGACGACATTGAGACGAGCAAAGCTGGATGAGTTACAGGTTTAGCTTAAAGGAGGACGTTCATCATCTCCTTGGGAGAATATCTGAAAATGAGAAATCATGGAAAGGAGGACCTGCAAGAGAAGAGTATTAGTATCCATGGCTTAGTCTACATGATATTGGTTACTCTGTTTCTTCTAAGGAGAAGAAGAAGGTGACCTTGTTCGTGGAGAATGTAAAATGGAATGTGCGCAACCATCTTAGTTCCACCTTGACTCCAGTTGACAGTGCCTGGGTTATGTGCTTCTTTACTGGCAGGTTTCGAAGGCCCCAAAATGGATAACGAAATTCCAGTGTCACTCAATAGTCCTAGATAGTCGTGAGCCCGAGTCCAGACTCTCGCATCTGAGGTTCGAGATCGAGCTACCTGTTCATGTAATTTAATTCAGCAGTGTCAACAACTTATATCCATTTTACCTTCTCTGCAAATCCCCTGCATCTAGGAGCAGCAAGCACAAGAAGGTGGGGAGAGAGATGAAAGAACATTGATCATTTTGGACAGAGTTACAAGACTTTGAGATCCTTCCAGCCCAAATTTTTAAATGCTAAATGCGGAGAAAGAGACCTTTCCCAATGAGACCCGTGCCCTCGGTAGTAATTCACGGTGGTATGTTGCTAGTTTTGCAATGGCAGTAATAACAAAACAAAGAAGCCTCGACTGCGATGACTTTCTGAAGCTTTCACCACTGGAATTGTCACCAGGGTCCTGTCTCAAACCTAAACGACTTTGGAAGCAAACCAAAGAGAAGCAGCAGATTAAAAATGGAAAGTTTTGAAAATGAATGCAGGGGTAGTTGCCGTAAAGCCACCTCGATAAAAGATTTTCATATAAAAGCAACTCTAAGCTCTCGAAAAGTTCACGGGATGCATCTTTGTGAGATCTGCCACCGCCACCGTGTTCTCCAATGGCCCAACACAATTGAAGTGCTAGTTCTGTCTACAAAGATGAAACGAGGAAGTAATTCAACAATCAGTTGCTGCATTTATCTGTTTTACTGGATAAGAGATGTAAGCAACAACCTTTGCAGGGTTGTCATATGCTTCACCAAGTCGATTGATTATAGGCTTCTGCAAAAAAAATAAAAAAATAAAAGAAAAAACTGAAATTTGATATAGATAAGAAACAAAAAGATACCCAATAATAAGAGCTCAGCATGTACGAACATAAAATATGATGCATTCATAAAATATTCATCATAAGTGGAAAAGAAATGTCCAGAATTGTTTGGATGTGCTTCACAAACTATAATGGAAAGGAGAAAAGCTTATTAGAAGTAACATTGTCATTGATTAGCAAAAACAAGGAGCCCATAAATTATCAGTACAAATTACCTTGAGAAGTGCAATGAAGTCCGGAGACCGCTGAAATGCAGCAAGCATAAATTCTAGGAGCCTCTTACGAACCTACAAATATACCTAAAAGGTTCAAATTCTGAACCTCACATTCTACTATGATCTGCAAATTTTAATCCATGTTCTAGACAACAAAAGATATACCTACAAGTAATAGTATCATAGATTCAAGGAAAGAAAAATACAAATATAAGGGGAAAAGGGAATTTGAATTTGCAGATAAACAACTAAAAACGTCAATTTTGGTCAAAACCAACAAAAAACGTCCTGCTTGTCCCAAAAATAAACATCATGCATTCGAACTTGATCAGACAACTGTATCTGTAGTATTTCAGATATGAAAATGGATAAAAAGGGGAAACTTTCAAACAAATAAAATGAAGAAACAAACTCATCAGAATGACCAACTAAAGATTGTCAAAAACGAACAGTCCAGAAAACATGTCTAAGTGATTTGATTTAATACAAAGTGTAATACCCATTCGCAGCAAAGCCAACAACAATAAGAACATAACTTAATCCACATTCAGAGGCACACCTTATAGGAGAAAGCTTTGTCAGGTAACAATGTCGAGTTTCTTGACATAAGCAGAGGAATCAATGCACAGATTAAAGCTGAAAAGGGAAGGTAAAATATCAATAGCTAAAATAACTACCAACTAAGATAAACAAAAAAAAAAGTCTGGAACAAACTGAAATCGCAAAAAGCAGCATCATACAATTGTTGACATCTTGCAGTGCCACAGAAAAGTAGACATCAAGAATCCGAGGTGTCACGTTCAGCATTTGTTTCAGCCTATCAGATTGAGCAGTATTTATTGCAATCTGAATTACTGCAGTCATCCCAGGAGAATTCCAATGTCGTTCCTGAAAGAATATTAGATAAACCCAAGAAAGTTATGTCATCCAGCTACAAAACAAAGATTCTGTAGGTACAAAGTTTCCCAAGCACTTCAGGCAGTTTTGAGGCCAAAGCGACGCATATTAAAAGCTATACTATTCAGGGGCAATGAGCAGCATGCGGAATGTTTCTATCAAATACGTTGGTTAAGACACAAATAAAACAAGCAATTATGCTATAAATGTAATGTGAGTGCGTACGTGTGAACATATTTTAAATTATTGTATTCCCATAAAATAGTCTAAATCTTTGCTATGATAGTTCCAGTTAACCAGTCACTAAAATTCAGAATATAGACAGAGAAATGACACCTACCGAAAGACCATCATTTTCATCCTTCAAAAGTTCGAGGAAGAGAGGATCAGCAACATCTATTGTGCTACTAGCCTCGGTTCCGGAGTCTCCTCCTCCATCCCCAATGGTTGAACCAGTGTAAGCCTCATCCATGAGTGCAAGTAACATCTGTACCAATACAACATGAGGATTATAACATATTGTGAATTGGACTTTTATCCATGGGCTTTCTGGAGATCTGAATTCTGATATCACCTCAGGAACTTTACTCTTCTGGATTGAAGCTATGTTATTTCCAACTAGTGATCCTGAGCTGCGCTCTACCCTTTCCAATGCGACTACTAAAACTGTAATCAATTACCAACAGAAGTTGAAATTTGGAATCAAATAACAGTGTAATGAAAGTACGGAAAAAAAAAGGAAATAACAGAAGGAATGACCGAAAAACATGAACTCACTAGGGAAATCAATGAGAGATGGAAACATTGGAAGGAAAGACCCAGGAGAAATCAATGCTGGAAAGATTCTAAGAAATGGTTTCTCTAACCTGCAGCAAGAAAGCAACGGCACCAATTAGCTCTCGTTTTCAAATTACATCCACTTAAATAATTACCAACGTCCAAAAATCCTGACCCAGAACAAAGTTTATATTTCTAGAACTTGTTCATCCAGGAGTGGAAATAATTAAAAAAAAAATTGAGAAAATAGAAGTCAAATAAAAACAATTCTGTTTAACAACTTACTTTTCTCCATTCCAAGCAATCAGCTTTAGCAACAATGGATAGAACTGCAAATTGATCAATCTGAATTAGAGGTAAATCTCTCTCTCCCAGTCTTACAGTGAATTATAATCAATGAATGGCCAAAGAAGCCCCAGCAGTCGTGATCACTTTTGACAGTAAGTGGCTATAAACTTGGTAAGTGCAACATTTGTCAATTTGGTGGCCACCAAAGGGAAGGAAAGTGCCACTTAACCAGCATATTATATCGATATGTCTCATTTACTTCAGATTCATATGTAGTGTTGTTTAGAATAACTAAATAAATAAAAAAGTTGAGGAAAGATGACACTGATACAAATGAAAATTTGTTTCCCCTGTATGTTTGAAAAACCGTATACATTTCAGTTCTTCAAAAACAGACTGAAGAAAATTTACAATAAAATCGGATGTTACTGGTATGAGTGAAAAATTAGAAACAAGTCAACAACTCATACCTGTGGCAATAATGTAGGAAAAGAAGTAAGAAACTTATTCTGATTTGTATTCAGAAATTCTAGAACTGCTTCTGCAACAATTAGATCTGCAAACTCACTGTAATCATATTAGAATAAGATTGATGAGTGTATTATGGCCAACATATGAATATACTAATGTGAAACTGAGGGTTTTCCACCAAACAATGCTATAACACAGTGAAAAGATAGTTGTCCAATAGAACTTCACCTTTTGATCTTAGGACTTGATTTTTTTTTTTTTTTTTTTTTTTTTTTTTTTTTT